AGCATCCTCAGAGGTAGTGAGGTCTATTGGCACTAGGAAAGTGGGTTTATATAGAATCATAGAATCACAGAGTTGAAAAAGACCTCCTGGGCCATCCAGTCCAACCCCATTCTGCCAAGAAGCAGGAATATTGCATTCAAATCACCCCTGACAGATGGCCATCCAGCCCCTGTTTAAAAGCTTCCAAAGAAGGAGCCTCCACCACACTCCGGGGCAGAGAGTTCCACTGCTGAACGGCTCTCACAGTCAGGAAGTTCTGTGGAATGACCAGGGTGGGACAAATGACTCTTGTCTGCTGGAGCTAGGTGTGAATGTTTCAACTGACCACCTTAATTAGCATTTGATGGCTTGGCAGTGCCTGGGGGAATCTTTTGTTCAGAGGTGATTACACTACAAAGAGAAGCCACTGAAATCCACAAGCATGTGGACAATTTCAACAGAAAGGAGGAAACCATGGAAATGAACAAAATTTGGCTACCAATATTAAAAAAAACTCTAAAATTACAACAGCAGAACAACAGAGAGGAAACAAACAAGGACATCTAATCACCTCTCAACAAAAGATTCCCCCAGGCACTGCCAAGCCATCAAATGCTAATTAAGGTGGTCAGTTGAAACATTCACACCTAGCTCCAGCAGACAAGAGTCCTTTGTCCCACCCTGGTCATTCCACAGATATATAAACCCATTTTCCTAGTTCCAACAGACCTCACTAATTCTGGGGTCTCAGTGGACTACAACTCCCAGCATCCCTTCACATTGAGTCAGGGAAGTTACAATGGGGCCAAACTGCATTAATTCTGCACCGCTGGGAGGAAAGATTCCCAAACACACCGCTCAGCATAGGTTTCCTCTCTGGGTCTGGAGAACATCAGCCGAACCCAGGATCAGGGAGAGAGAGACAAGCCCGTCCATAAATAACTTTTTCCAATGGCTTTGCAAGAAACACCGCATCTGTTTTATGTTATTAGGCTTCCGAAAATATCTCTTAAAGCTATTTATCGGTGGGGAGTTTTTCCTCTTCCTATAACACTCATTTACAAGGGGTAAAAGAGCAGAACTACCTCGTGTTTGATGGGACGGAGCATTGTTTCGCCCCAAGAAAGAATTACTCCATTGCTCCTTATGCAATGTATACACAACCAGAAAGATAATTAAAATTTAATAATTAATTAATTATAATTTAATAACTAATTAATTATAATTAAATAATTAAATAATTAAATTTTAATAATAAATTGATTATAATTTAAAAATTAATTATAATTTTATAATTAATTATAATTTTATAATTATATTATTATTATTATTATTATTATTATTATTGCATTTATTTATGTTTGATAGACAAGAGCACTGTTTAGCTCCAAGAAAGAATTACTTGATTGTTCCTTATACAACATATACACAACCGGAAAGATAGTTAAAATTTATAATTAATTAATTATAAAAAAACCATAATTAATTAATTATTAAATTATAATTAATTAATTAATTAATTATTAATTATAATTTTATTATGAATTAATTATATTTTAGTAATTTTAGTTAATTATATTTTTATATTATAATTTTTGTAATTAACTAATTATATTTTAGGTAATTTTAATTTTATAATTAATCAATTATAATTTTAATTAATTAATTATATTTTATAATTAATTAAATTTTATAATTACTATAATTATAATTAATTATAAAATTATAATTAATTATAATTATATAGTTAATTAATTATAATTTTWTTGTTATTATTGTGTTTATTTACATCCCGCTTTTTGTCTCCATAAAAAGCATTGCAATGCAACTATATATATATATATATATATATATATATATATATATATATATATAATCGTTTAATGCATGAAATTTAATGATCCTTTAATTATAATTATGCTTTTACGGCTTTAGCCTGAATTGTTTTGAATATTMATGAGGTTTAATACTGCATGTATGTATGTATGTGTGTATATATATATATAYAYAYAYACACACACACACACACAGTGTTAAACCTCATTAATATTCAAAACAATTCAGGCTAAAGCCACAAAAGCATAATTATAATTAAAGGATMATTAAATTTCATGCATTMAACGAKTTTATGCATGGAACTAAAGTTTGTTTACGTTGGGCCGTCATAAGGCAGTGGCATCACTATCTCAGCCGCAGAATGTAAACAAATTTGGAGTCATTAGGAATTCCAAATAAGGGAGTCTCAACCTGTAATAATTGTAGTCATTATAGCAATAATAATAGTGTTTATGCCATTGAATGCCTCCAAGTGAAGCTTGACCAAAGCAGATTACAGTAGGACTATGAGTTCAATCAATTGAGACACTTTATTTCTATTGATTTAGCCTAGAATCGCATTGGCCTTTTTCGCTGCTGCATCACACTCTTGGCTCATGTTCAGCTTGTGTTGTTATTATATCATTATTATAATAATATTATTATTTTCTGAAAAGGCTGAAGGAGGCCGGCGTGGCGTGTGACGTGAGCAGCATCGGCTCTACTCCTTCCTGCAGCCACCCGGTACCCGAAATGGCCAAACTCACCGAAGTTCACCCTGGAAACTATATCTTCTATGGTAAGGACCCCACCCAACCCATAAACACAGCCCCCATATCTGCAGTTTTGTTTACATTTCCCCCTTTGCATGTTGAACCTTCAAAGAGTCCTCTCTATTGACTCCCAAAGAAGTTTAAGCCAACAGCTCCTTTAAAGTTCGGACTAGAACCCGCAGCGGATACATCACTTCTATGGGCGACAAAGGCTATGGGTGCATCTAGTGTGCAGTTAATGCAGTTTGACACCACTTTTAACAGCCATAATTCCATGTTATAAAATTCCCGGGAAGTTGTAGTTTTCCGAGGGGTGCGTCTACGCTGCATGCAGTTTGACAGCTATTGAATTCCTGGGAGTTGTAGTTTTCCAAGGGGTGCGTCTACGCTGCATGCAGTTTTGACAGCTATTGAATTCCTCGGAGCTGTAGTTTTACAAGGGGTGCGTCTACACTGTAGGAGTAATGCAGTGGTTTGGTGCTATGAAATTGTGGGAGTTGCAGATTATGAAACAACGAGCCGACCTTGGCACAGAAGGCTGAAAACCTTGGCGAAACTACAACTCCCAGAATCCCCACAGCACTGATCTATATCGTGAATAATTGCATTCAGCGCTATGGAATTGTGGGAGTTGCAGCTGATGAAACAACTAGCCCTCCTTGGCACAGAAGGCTGAAGACCTTGGGAAACTACAACTCCCAGAATCCCCTAGCACTGATCTGTGTAGTGAATAATTGCATTCAGTGCTAATTGTGGGAGTTGCAGCTTATGAAACAACCAGCTGACCTTGGCACAGGAGGCTGAATACCTTGGGAAACTACAACTCCCAAGCACCATAGTACTGATCCATGGCTGTTAAAGTGGTGAATAATTGCATTCAGTGCTATGGAATTGTGGTAATTGCAACTTATGAAACAAGTTTCCTTGGCACAGAAGGCTAAAGGCCTTGGGAAACTACAACTCCCAGGATCCCATAGCACTGAGCCATGGCTGTCAATGTGTGATGTCAGATTGCATTCATTCTTTAGTGTAGATGCACCCAGAGAAAGCTAAAAGACCTTGGGAAACTACAAATCCCAGGATCCCATAGCACTTAGCCATGGCTGTCAATGTGTGATGTCAGATTGCATTCATTCCATAGTGTAGGTGCACCCAGAGAAAGCTAAAAGACCTTAGGGAACTTCATATCCCAGCATTCCCAGCAAAGTGATGTCATTCATTTAGATGAATTCACAGACTCCATCGACTATGGAGGCGACACATCCGCTGTGGGTTCTAGTCCGAACTTTAAAGGTTCCAAGTCCCGTTTGGGATGAATCTTTTAAAGTTTGGACTGAAAACTGGAGCGGATTTCCTTCCTGTTGGAACTCAGATGGACCTCTCTGTCTCCCTTCCAGATGTGCAGCAGATGATGATTGGGTCTTGCCGACTGGAGGACATCGCCGTCCGGGTCTTGACCAGGGTCATCGGCCATTACCCAGACCGCAACCAGCTGCTGGTGGACTGCGGCTGGACCGGCCTGAGCCTCCACAGCCTGGGCCAGCTGCCCACTGGATACGCCATCGTGGACGGCCACCCGGAGCTCAAGTGAGTGAACCATATTCCAGTTCGGAGAAATGTACTTACGGCAAAGCCTCAAAAGGCCTCAAAATTGGCTCAAAAGGCCAATACGATTCTAAGCTGCATCTTATAGGAGCAGTATAGGAATCTATACTGCAGCTTCAGCTCCTTCAATTTCTCGTATGTTTGCTTCTCCATGTTGTCCTGAATCTGCTGTAACATGTCCCTCTTAAACCAAATCGTGTTCCTTTCCTTTGCAGGGTGGTGGGCATGACCCAGGAGCATGGGAGGGTCGAAGCCATGGATGGGAAGCTGGATTTCGCCCAATTTCCCCGGGGAAGCCTCCTCCGCCTCATCCCTTATCACGTGAGTGGGACTCTTATCATATTGTTGAAGGCTTTCATGTCCAGAATCGCTGCCATGTTCTAGCAGCATTCTCTCCTGATGTTTCACCTGCATCTGTGGCTGGCATCCTTAGAAGTTCTGTTGACCATGAGGCAAGTGGAGTGTATATATATCCCTGTGGAATAATTTCCAGGGTGGGAGAAAGAAAGAGCCCTTGTGTGTTTAAAGCAAGTGTAAATGTTGCTATTACCAAGCTTAATGAGCATCGAGTAGCCATGCAGTTTGCAAAGTCAATCAGTGAGGGTACCCGCATAGAGATGGCCTGGTTGTTGTTGCCTGGAGGCATTGACTTTGCAAACCACATGGCTACTCAAATGCTAATTCAAGCTTGCTCATTGCAACATCCACACGACCCTTGAAGGAAGTGTGAATGTTGCTATTACCAAGCTTGATAAGCATTGAGTAGCCATGCAGTTTGCAAAGTCAATCAGTGAAGGTACCCGCATAGAGATGGCCTGGTTGTTGTTGCCTGGAGGCATTGACTTTGCAAACCACATGGCTACTCAAATGCTAATTCAAGCTTGCTCATTGCAACATTCACACTACCCTTGAAGGAAGTGTGAATGTTGCTATTACTAAGCTTGATTAGCATTGAGTAGCCATGCAGTTTGCAAAGTCAATCAGTGAGGGTACCCGCATAGAGATGGCCTGGTTGTTGTTGCCTGGAGGCATTGACTTTGCAAACCACATGGCTACTCAAATGCTAATTCAAGCTTGCTCATTGCAACATCCACACGACCCTTGAAGGAAGTGTGAATGTTGCTATTACCAAGCTTGATAAGCATTGAGTAGCCATGCAGTTTGCAAAGTCAATCAGTGAAGGTACCCGCATAGAGATGGCCTGGTTGTTGTTGCCTGGAGGCATTGACTTTGCAAACCACATGGCTACTCAAATGCTAATTCAAGCTTGCTCATTGCAACATCCACACGACCCTTGAAGGAAGTGTGAATGTTGCTATTACCAAGCTTGATGAGCATTGAGTAGCCATGCAGTTTGCAAAGTCAATCAGTGAGGGTACCCGCATAGAGATGGCCTGGTTGTTGTTGCCTGGAGGCATTGACTTTGCAAACCACATGGCTACTCAAATGCTAATTCAAGCTTGCTCATTGCAACATCCACACGACCCTTGAAGGAAGTGTGAATGTTGCTATTACCAAGCTTGATGAGCATTGAGTAGCCATGCAGTTTGCAAAGTCCATCAGTGAGGGTACCTGCATAGAGATGGCCTAGTTGTTGTTGCCTGGAGGCATTGACTTTGCAAACCACATGGCTACTCAAATGCTAATTCCAGCTTGCTCATTGCAACATTCACACTTGCATAATTCATAAGAATCCCCTAGCTTAGTAATGTTTGGGTTGTTTATTATTGTTGTTGTTATTGTTGTTCCCAGAATCCCCATCCATGAAGGCTGGCTGGGGAGGAAAGTATTTATTTTTAACAGATTATGGCAGTTTTCCCTTTTTTGGGGAGACTACAGTTCCCAGAATCCCCACCCACAAGGACTTGCTAGATATTTTCCAATAGACCTTGGGGATGTTGGAGAGGTTTTGTTTTGCACTACAGTTCCCAGCATCCCCTTGTTGAGGCATATCTCTGGCATAATTGGGACATAGCTTGGACTCCAGTTCCCAGAATCCCCTATACACTTAGACTTGCCCGACAGGAGAACTTCTCAAATACAGATTGGCCATATTGCTTTTGTTTTGGACCAGTTGTAACCCGTAAAGTATTCCCCGGCATTGGCCTCTGAGAATACTCAGAGTGCCAGGCCCATCATGTGCCCAAATACAGGATTCGTTTTGGTGATTCTCTTTGTATTCCCGACAGGCCTGCGCCACGGCTGCAATGCACCCGCTTTACTACGTCCACAGCAAGGGGCACGTGGTTGAAACGTGGAAGCCGGTCCGGGGCTGGTAGGAGGACGAGGAGAGAGTCCCGGAAAACGTTGTTGGTCTTCGGTTTGCAGCAGAAGACGGAGAGATTCCTTCAACTCCAATCCATGCATAACACTCTGTAAACACTATGATTTTTGTTCCTGGGTTATAAACGTAATTTCCTAATTGGTCCTATCCTAAAAACATGGGAGAAGTTTATAGATAGTTTGATGAGAGATATAGATGAGAGAGAGATGGATGGATGGATGGCTAGATAGATAGATAGATAGATAGATAGATAGATAGATGTAGGTAGATAGATAGATGTAGGTAGATAGATGATGGATAGATAGATAGATAGATAGATAGATAGATAGATAGATAGATAGATAGATAGACAGACACCCACACTCCAAATGGATATAGATGGACGGACGGACGGACGGACAGACAGACAGACAGACAGACATAGAGAGTTAACAGATAGATAGATATAGATAAGTAAGAGTTTGATTAGATAAATAAATATATAGATAGTTGGTAGTTGATGGATGGATGGATGAATAGATAGATGAATGACATAGAGAGATGACAGGCATATATATATCGATAGTAAATAGATAAGAGTTTGATTAGATAGTAGGTTGGTAGATGATAAATGGATGGATGGATGGATGGATAGATAGATGACATAGAGAGTTGACAGATAGATATAGATAAGAGTTTGATTAGATAGACAAATAGAAGGTAGACAATGGGTGAATGGATGGATGGATGACTGACAGAGAGATGACAGACAGACAGACATATAAATAGTAAATAGATAAAAGTTTGATTAGATAGATAGATAGATAGATAGATAGATAGATAGATAGATAGATAGATAGATAGATAGATGTAGGTAGATAGATGATGGATGTATAGATGGATGGGTGGATGGATATATAGATAGATAAATAGATAGATGACATAGAGAATTGACAGATATAGGTAAGTAAGAGTTTGGTTTGATAGATGGATGGATGGATGGATGACGTAGAGAGTTGACAGACAGATATATATAAGAGTTTGATTAGATAGATAGATAGATGATAGATGTAGATGGATGGATAGATAAGATGACATAAAGTGTTGATACAGATAAGTGAGAGTTTAATTAGATAGAGAGTACATAGATGATGGATTGGTAGGTAGGTAGCTAGGTAAGTAGGTAGGTAGGTAGATAGATAGATAGCGGGTGCGTGGATAGATGGATGGGTTGATAGATAGATAGTGGGTGGATGGATGGATGGATGGATAGATAGATAGATAGATAGATAGATAGATAGATAGATAGATAGATAGATGTGTAGATGGGTGGATGGGTGGATGAATGGATAGATAGATAGATAGATAGATAAAGAAAGGAAAGATAGAAGAAAGAAAGAAAGAAAAAAAGAAAAGAAAGAAAGCGGGTCTGTGGATAGATGGATGGATGGATGGATGGATGGATGGATGGATAGATAGATAGATAGATAGATAGATAGATAGATAGATAGATAGTGGGTGGATGGATGGATAGATAGATAGATAGATAGATAGATAGATAGATAGAGAGAGGGTGCATGGATGGATGGAAAGAAAGAAAGAAAGAAAGAAAGAAAGACGGGTCTGTGGATAGATGGATGGATGGATGGATGGATGGATGGATGGATAGATAGATAGATAGATAGTGGGGATGGATGGATGGATAGATAGATAGATAGATAGATAGATAGATAGATAGATAGATAGATAGATAGATAGGGGTGAATGGATAGATAGATATGGATACGGATGAATGAATGTGATAGATGGATGGATGGATGGATGGATGGATGGTGGATGGATGGATGATAGATAGATAGATAGATAGATAGATAGATAGATAGAGAGAGAGAGAGAGAGAGAGAGAGAGAGATAGATAGATAGATAGATAGATAGATAGCGGGTGCGTGGATGGATGGATAGATAGATAGATAGAGGGTGCGTGGATAGATGCATGGATGGATGGATAGACAGACAGACAGACAGACATCTGAGTAAGACACTAATGCTCTTTTGGCAGGGAAGGCTCAAGGACTTCTAAAACTACAACTCCTGGTTCTGCAGAACCAGGAAATATATAAATGAAGACCTTCGAAGAATTGGATCAAAAGGGCCTGAAATACAGTTGGCTCCTTATACAGACACTGCGTGAGAAATTCAAAGAACAACTATGAACGACTGCGAAAACATGGTTTGGTGCAGCTATGGTCCAGATGCCAAATGTATCACATACATACAAAAATATACTGACCTGGTACACGGAAGAGGAAGTGGTAAAGGACTCTACGGTTAGATGGGCTCAAAATATGGATCAAGAGATTAAAAAAGAGAGTTGGAAGTGAAACAGATGCTGGAAAGTCCTTAAATATTGATCCTATGTTAGAAATGTTAATGAACTCTCAACAGCTTGAACATTTTCAAACATTTTCATGCATTGAGTGCTTATTATAATAAATAAATATGCAAGTCCAACTCCCAGGAGGGTGGCTCAAGTGGTGCCAAACTGGGTTAACTCTACCATGTAGACGCCTTTCCTAACTCAAGAGGCCACGGTCGCCTTCAAGTCCCTTTGGGTCTCTGGACTTAGGAACAGATGTCTCTCCAAATTTGCAAAGAAGGCCAAGAGATTAGAAGCAGAGCCAGGCAGCCTGATCCCAAGATCCCTGGGAGACTTGAAAGAGATCCTGGATCATAAAACCCGATGGCCCTGGCGGGGCGGCTCTTGATCTTTTCCCCTTCAATGAGCGCTTTGAAGTCTCCCACCTCCTGCCTTATTGTTCCCTGGTTTTGCATTGGGGCCAAAGGCAAAGTCTTGGCTCAAATGGATGGCGTTGAGGGCAAAACAGCTGGGAGATAGGCATAGAATCCACAAAAGTGCAGGTAGAGGAGGATCCTAGAGTCGGAAGGGAACCCCAAAGGGCATCTAGGCCAACCCATTCAAGAAGACACCATCCAAGCCCTCCCGACAGATGGATAGCCTCCAGAGAAGTGTTATAAAGTTGGAAGGGAACCCCCAAGGGCATCTAGTCCAACCCTCTTTCATACCATCCAAGCCCTCCCAACAGATAGCCGTCCAGCATCTGCTTAAAAACATCCAGAGAAGTGTCATAAACTCAAGTCAAAAGGGAACCCCAAAGGGCATCTAGTCCACCCCCTTTCCGTGCCATTCAAGTAGACACCATCCAAGTCCTCCCAATAGATCCAACATGTGCTTTAAAGCCTTCAGAGAAGTGTTATAAACTAAAGTCATAAGGGAACCCCCAAAGGCCATCTAGTCCAACCCCATATATGCCATTCAAGAAGACACCACCAAAGCCCTCCCAATATATGGCCATCCAGCCTCTGCTTAAAAACCTCCTGAGAAGTGTCATAAACAAAAGTTGGAAGGGGACCCCAAAGGCCATCTAGTCCAACTCCCCATCATGCCGTTCAAGAAGACACCATCCAAGCTCCTGTTACAGATTTCCCTTAATAATAAACAAGACAGACGGACAGATCAGACATAAGATCTGACTTTCGTCCCATTTCCCCTAACAATAAATGATTGATAGATAGACACACACACACATACGTCAGACATAAGAACTGATATTGGTCCCTTTCCCCCTACTAATAATTGATTGATCAGAAATAAGATCTGACCTTGGTCCCCTTTCCCCTAATATATATATATATAGGGGGGGGGGGGGCAGAAAGGCCAGAAATAAGATCAGACAAGATCTGGCTTTGGTCCCTTTTCCAAAATAATAAAAGACAGACAGATAGATAGAAAGATAGATCAGAATTAAATCTGACTTTTGACCCTTTTCCCAAATAATCAAGAATAGATAGATAGAGATCAGAAATAAGATCTGACTTTGGTCACTTTCCCCAAATAATCAAGAATAAATAGATAGATAGATAGACAGACAGATCAGAAATAAGATCTGACTTTGGTCCCTTTTCCAAATAATCAAGAATAAATAAATAGATAAATCGATAAATCAATAGATAGATCAGAAATAAGATCTGACTTTGGTCCTTTTCCCCAAATAATCAAGAATAGATAGACAGACAGACAGCTCAGAAATAAGATCTGAGTTTGGTCCCTTTTCCCAAATAATCAAGAATAAATAGATAGACCGATTGATCGATAGATCAATAGATAGCTCGATAGATCAATAGATAGAAAGATAGACAGATAGATCAGAAATAAGATCTGACTTTGGTCCCTTTTCCCAAATAATCAAGAATAGCTAGATGGATGGATCGATAGATTGATAGATGGATAAATCAATAGATAGATAGATAGATAGATAGATAGATAGATAGATAGATAGATAGGCAGGCAGGCAGGCAGGCAGGCAGGCAGGCAGGCAGGCAGGCAGGCAGGCAGGCAGGCAGGCAGGCAGGCAGGCAGGCAGGCAGATCAGAAATAAGATCTGACTTTGGTCCCTTTTCCCAGATAATCAATAATGGGATGGATGGATGGATGGATGGATGGATGGATGGATAGACAGACAGACAGACAGACAGACAGACAGACAGACAGACCAGAAATAAGATCTGACTTTGGTCCCTTTTCCCAAATAATCAAGAATAGATAGATAGATAGATAGATAGATAGATAGATAGACAGACAGACAGACAGACAGACCAGAAATAAGATCTGACTTTGGTCCCTTTTCCGAAATAATAAAAAATAAATAGATAGATCGATAGATAGATTGATCGATCGATCAAGAGATAGATAGAACGATAGACAGACAGACCAGACCAGACCACACCAGAAATAAGATCTGACTTAATAAGATCTGACTTAAATAGATCGATAAATCAATATAGATAGATAGATAGATAGATAGATAGATAGATAGATAGATAGATAGATAGATAGATAGATAGATAGATAGATAGATAGAGATCGATTGATCAGAAATAAGATCTGACTTTGGTCCCTTTTCCCAAATAATCAAGAATAGATAGATAGATAGATAGATAGATAGATAGATAGATAGATAGATAGATATAGACAGACAGACAGACAGACAGACAGACAGACAGACAGATCAGAAATAAGATCTGACTTTGGTCCTTTTTTCCAGATAATAAAGAATGGATGGATGGAGAGATAAATAGTT